TTCCTTTACTGACATATAAAGATGAAAATAAATCAACTTCTTACAGCGGAATGGAGTTCATTCTTTTTTTTTTTTTTTTCCCAGCTGCCCAGTTTTATTTTTAATATGTAGCGGGTGTATTAGTGGTTTAATTACAACACCACTGAAAAATACAAAAGCAGTAGTTACGACATTAAATAATATTGAGGAAAAATATATATATATATTTAAGGGATTTCACTCAGCACTAAGTTTGATGTTGTTTGGGAAGTGTTATCTAGCTGGAGTGTCACCTTATTCCTACTTTTTAAGGTAATTTAATTATTTTGGCCAATTGTTCTTTCATGAATGAATGATAAAATCCTTAACAGAAAATCTGGGTGTATAAATAAAATAGCTGAAAGAAACACAACTGTACACGTTCCAACAACATACTTGTGCTCACACCCACTGCTTTATTTTTGGCATTGATCTAAGCATGCCATCACTTGGGACAAGAAGTAAATAGGTGGTCATGTGATGGCATACTGCCATCAGAGAGTCAGTAGTTTATGACTTAGGCATCACAGCTACCAAATATGTCATTTGAGAAGTGTGAACAAATGCACAAGAACACACAGTACAACTTTTAGTCAAGAAAACTCCAGTCTTCAGTTGAAAATGTCCAAAGCTGCATAAACTTCTGAGCTCCATCTTAGAAATGTGCAATCTTGACATTAAAGCATTAATCAAACTCTGAGGACATTTTATCTTTTTTTAAAATACCAAGTATCTAATAAATCAAATTTCCAAAATATATAAACATGTAGAAGGTTAAGTGCATTTAGTAGAAATACTTACATTAAAAAAAATCTCTAAAGATCTTATGAGCCATTCAATGTATACTCAACACAGAAAGTGGCAATAAGGCTATGATTACAGCTCTGGGTAAGTGACATTACCAAGTTCCATATACAGTATTTTTGTTTATGCCATGTGATTGCTGTGTATGTAAGGGTGGAGATGTATTCACGCATACGGAATTCTATACAGCTACACAAGTGGCATGCACATTATTGAGATGTTGTCTGTTGTTCTCTTATTCATTCTTGAATCCCTAGCAGTTCTGGGATTGGATAGGGCCAAGGATTGGAAATCATCATGATGCTTTCCTTCCCCAGTCTAAGAATCTGGAAGTAGGTCATGTGCTGTGCTTGGTGCTTATACTCACATACGTGAGCCTCTGGGTAACAACCAACGCCTCAACGCACCTCCATGAATATACATGCATAGGCACATGGGGACCCTCTGTCTACTTGAAAAGAAAACTTAATGCTGTCATTTTCCAGGAAGAAATTGATTGTGTAGGCTTTTTTCTTTGCCCTCCCACTTCTCTGTTGGGCCGATTCTGTGCTGCTACTTCAAGTTATTCAAACATGTTTTGTCTAGTGTTATTTTTTCCCCAGTGTTTTAGATCAAGGCTGAGTTTCCTGAGAATTTAAATACCTAAGAAGAATGCAAACAAAACCAGCCTACATACCCAGGTTGATATTCAGGAGCGCATCACTGCAGCACAGTCACATTTCTTGCAACACTGCTTTCTTTTGAAAATGTACCTCACCCCACCCCCAACATAATGAAAACTATTCTAACAAACTATGAATATTTTATTCTGGACCTCATCCTTAAATGCTTAGCTTTAGAATCATGTCCAGATAGATCCTTGATTAAAGGTAAATTTCAGAAAGCACTAAGGTTTTAGCATTAAGTACGTGACCACCGTTCACCAAAGTAAAATGCCCCCAATCTGCTGCTCTGTTGGGAGGTACCTTTAGTTACTCAAATGGAATTTGGTCATTCTTAAATAGTTCAGTGTAATGAGGGGGACAACACATCCAAAGTATAGATGTTTCGATACGCTAGGTTTCCTGTCTTAAAGCTTGGTCTATGTAACCTTTAACACATATAAATGAGTTAGAATCTCCATATAAATACAAAGTTTCATTTATCTTTTTAACTGTATTTTTAAATCACATGCTAATGGATTGCACAAAGAACCTAGATGAAAATTCTTTGTCTTCAGCAAAAACCATAAAGGCTGAGGTGCTAGATCAAACAGCCTGTGACTGTTTTTCTAGCTTGGGCCTGGGATATTTTAAGATTTCAGGCAACAGAGGGCTATAGGATCACAGGTAGTGTCAAGGGTTAATTTGGTTCCTCCCTTGTTCTCCCACTTTGTTTCCAACGACGACAGGTATGCACACTGTAGAGGTTTCCATCTCATGTCAGTTGGAAGCTGAGTTTGGCATTAGCACCTATCACACTTCAATCAGGATCTGGTGTGGGTTAAAAATGCTTATGTGATGTTGGGGGTGGGGAGCGAGTGTTAACCCCAGGTCAAGAATGCTAGACAAGAATAGTTTATTGTCAAGAATCTAAAGGTGAACTTCATCAGTGTGTTAGAATGGGCAAAATCAGGTTTCTGCCCTAACTTACCGCTCTGTAGTAAACTACTTCTGATTCAGGTCAAACAAGAAATGAGGGAAGTATTACATAAATTGAGTTACTTTACAGGATATGGTCTTAAACCAAGTAACCTGTTATAAAACAATTTTAATGGAAAACCCTGACCCACATACTCAGCTCATACAATGCTCTCTGCCTACGATTTGGACTCACCACATTTCCCGTCCCGTCCAAAGCATTGTTATTGTTGTTAGGTGCTGTCAAGTTGGTTTTGACTCATAGTGACCCTATGTACAACAGAATGAAGCACTGCCTGGTCCTGGGCCATCCTCACAATTGTTGCAATTTTTGAGCCCATTGTTGCAGCCACTGTGTCAGTCCATCTTGTTGAGGTTCTTCCTCTTTTTTGCTGACCCTCTACTATACCAAGCATGATGTCCTTCCCCAGGGACTTGTCCCTTCTGATAACATGAGCAAAGTACGCAAGATGAAGTCTTGCCATCCTCACTTCTAAGGAGCATTCCGGCTGTACTTCTTCCAGGACAGATTTGTTCATTCTTCTGTCAGTCCATGGTATATTCAATATTCTTCACCAACATCATAATTCCAATGCAAAGCATCACTATACCCCAAAACACTTTTTGCTGGTTTTAGTATCACACTGAGCTGTCCTTTAGGGAATATAGTTCATGGTAATCAGATACTCCCTTTTTATTCACTGTCTGATAACTCATTAAAAAACTGCAAAATCTTTAAGGTTCATGAAGCAACAATTTTGTGTTAAATTACATAGACACTAAAAACTGCTAGCATTAAAGTAGAATTTGTGCAAGACACTGGAATCTTAATTAGGCATCATGTACTACAGTCAATAAAAGGGAAAATACGAAAACAAAATGCTCAGAAGATTTGCGGTCCTTCACTTTGTTTTCATGCCCCTGTATCAGTCGACTTACATTTTATCCTTTGTCAGATAATCAAATCAAACTTCTCTTACAATTTCAGCCGTATTAAGAAGCAATGTTGAAATAACTCATTAAAACCTAAAATTACTATAATTTAACTTAAAAAAATCAAAAGTTATAAGCTCAGTGATTTAAGGGAGAAGAATTTGATTTATAACAATGTCAGTTGGGCACTGATCTAAAGATTGGAAATGTAAAAATAAAGTTATAAATACAGAAAAATCCTTTTAACACATTTAAGAAAACTCAATATAATAGATTATAAATTATGTGCAGAGATTTATAGACATTTCCAGTATATACACCTATTTTCAAATATTACCAAAGTGTAAACATAACTTAGGATAATCACTCAACTTCTATTTCCACTCTTGAAATGAATACAGTGAAACTTCCAGTGTGATCCAGGTCACTTTTTCCAAAGTTAAGCAAAAATCGCAAACATTCACCATAACAAGCTTTAGTATTACCAGATTTTCACTAATTTAATCTTTTAGCATTAGAAAGATTTGTCGAGTTTTGTAGTTCATTAATAGTGGTTCTCTGTTTCTCATGGTATTAATAAATAGCAAGGTACCAGACATCTCAAGATAGTAACAGAGTATGCAGCACAGCTGTTCCATTATCATACCCCAAATAAAGACAGACAGCAAAACATACATGATGGCTTTGATAAGTGAAAAATACAATGTTACTTTATGTCTATGTTTCTGAGGAATGAATAATGATTTGTACTGACGAAGGGGCTGAAGCTTAACAGACATTACTCTGGCACTAAATGGAACCAGTCCTGGGGGAAGAACAGGACTATACTTCTAGTTTAGATAATTTCAGAACTCAGATACTCAGACAAGCAAAAAACAAAAATCACCATGTTCAAAATAAGAAATAGGGCTATATGGGCAGGAGTCCCTTCAAATTATCTGTAACCTGAAATCTTCAAAAGCCTTCTCCCAAACTCTGCACATGTAATGTGTCCAGTGCAAGGTATCACTACTGCTGGGAACAGAGTAGTGATCATCTTGTAGTACAGGAAGTAAAATACTTGTCCACGAGTTCTCCCACCCTTGTCTGATTCTGATAAACTTGTCCCTTACAAGGTCAGCAGATGACCTCATTTTTAGAGCCAATGCAGCAAAGAGAACCAGAGACATGAGCATAAAAAGCAAAAGGCCATCATTTGAAATTTCTCAATGATTTTATTTCCTCTTCCTTCTGCTCCAGGCCCCTACACTTGAATTAGTTTGGTGAAATACTGAAATCCTTAATACTAGCTTTGAAATAAGCACAACTTCCTCCATTGCCAGACCGTTTCCTATGTTCTAACTTAAACAAACTTTAATTGTAAAGTGGAACTCACTAAAGTATCAAGGATAATGGTTCAGAAAAACCATTCAAAACATCTCTAAAATATTAAGTGACAGCTCTCCTTTACAGGAACATTCTGTTTGCTCAAAAAATTGGTTCTCTGGTTGAATGTTACTTAAATCTAAATTTTCTCTAACTGGTATTTCTATTTTTCTTAAAAGTACATTTGTTAAAACCCTAACTAAGCCCACTTGGGAAATCTACAGCAGAAAATATGTGACGTTTCCCAACTGTGTCACAGCTAGCCTGAAGACCGGCCAGAATGTTCCCCAGGAGAGGAGCCTGAAAATGTAGGTTTCCTTAAAAATCAATTTCCAGTTCAAAATTTGTTGGTGGACAGAAACGAACTGTATTGTGTGTGTCAGTATTACTAAAATACTCAACATGAAGCAGTAGCAAAATAAACAACAGATCCCAATACCCCTGGCTGCATTAGTGTCTAATTTCTTCTTTGTTCCGCTATATCTGCAGGATAAATAGTTTACCTTCAGAACCCCAAGATAATACCTGTATCCACATTTTTAAGGCTTTGTTTCCTTCTGGGCTTGACAAATAACTGCAACTATTTTCTCTCTTTCTGATGCCCACCTGGCAAGCAGAAGAGTCCACTTGCCTTTTCCCACTGCAGGTAATCATGTGACAAAGCACCCACGTTTCCAGAGTAGGGCTGTCTCACTGTCCAGACACTGAGATGATGGGGAACCTTTGCCATACACTGGAGTAGCTTCCATAGCCCTAGAAGAAAGCACTGATCCCAGGTCCCACAGTAGAGCGATGCTCTCTGCCATGCAGATATGTGCAAGTGCCCAGTTTCAGAACCCCACAGGGAGAACTCAGAGTGTTCCACTGACAACACCGGGATGTATCATGCTCTTGTTGGGCGGGGCTGCACTGGTTCTCCAAGTGACACAACACACTCAACACAACCAAAGATGTTGGTTACGTAAGAGAAGGGAGAAACACAGTCACTTTGTATCTCTCACAAATGAGATCCCTGGTTTTTTAATTAACCAAAGGTGGGTGGGGATTATTTCAGTAGGCTAAAATTCAGACTGTGTTCTATTACTGCAGAAAATGCAGCTATTCAACACAACGGTTCCTCACTCAGCTTAGAGTAGTATTACACCTATCGTCAGTTTCCTTTTTGTCCTCTGAAGAGGAACAGAGAAGGAAGAGGTGGGGACTCTCTTGAAGCACCCCTACCCTCTGCACTGGGAGTGTATTACTGCTCACTAGCACCTTCTGTTCCATCTGCTGTTGTCTTCTCTGCCTTTTTGGACTTCCTTTGCATTTGATCTTGTTCCTTCCGCCTCAGCTTTTCTCTTTGTTTTTCCATTTTCTCTTGAGCCTTCCGGGCCTTCTCTAGAGACACCTTCATTTCCTTGAGTTTTTTTTTGACGACGGCTCGGTCCTGGGATGATGTCATTCCAAGAGCCTAAGAAGGAAACACATATGGAAACCAAATTTGAGAAACTGATGACCTCTCTGCTTATGATGAGGCTGCTATCACACTGCGTTCAAATTCACAAACTAATTTAAGCATAGATAGAAGACGTAAGAACTGAGGAAGAGCTGATTATATTTGCCAAAGATTACTTTGGAGGTCTGTGCTTTACTTACTCTTCTAAGACTCCAGCACAGTATAATCTAAACCTCATTAAGTAAATGCTTTTCAAATTGGTAATTAATCGATGGATGAATGAAAAAAAGGGCATAATTGTGCTTCTCCAACATTCGGGCTGTAGACATTTACAGGCAAAAGTATTGTTATACTCATCAATATTTTCAAAGGGTAGGAGTGGGCACCTGCTGCTACAGAGGACTCCAAAAAGGGCAGGAAGAATAGAAATGACTTCTTTTCTGCTCGTGCATTCATTTACAATGAGATCCAAAAATGTCTTTGGGACCAGAATGTTCATGTCAGCAGGACTAGCCATTCTCTCTCTGTAGGCAGATCTATAAAGGAAGCCTGATTATACTGAGGAGACTGCTCAATGAGCTTGGAATTCAGAATAAGGGGAGTTGGTTATATACTTTAAATGTTTCATGACCTTAAGAATCAACAGCCGGATGCATCCATCTCCCCAACAGGGACAGCCTTGTCAATGGGGCCTTCATATTCACAGGCTATTGACTGATCTCTAACCTTTTCAAGACTGTCAAGAGATACTCATCTGCCCATCAGCCTAGCAGGGTGTGCAGGGGGAGCTGGCTCTAAGCTCCTTTTTGCCCTTTTTGCACAGGAGTGGGTTCCACTCAGTCTCTAAGAGAGATGGACTGGATGAATGGAAATGAGAGTACAATGGAGGGGAAGGGAAGACAGGGGCAGCACGTAACTGGGGAACAAAGTTCTGGGGAGACTTCTGGAGTGGTTTGCAGGGAAGAGTGGGTGTGGAGGAGAAATGAATAAAGAAGGGAAGATTCATAGATTTGATTCTTAATTCTGATGTGATGAAAGGGTCCACACTGGCTAGTATGAAAATTTATATTACATAGGAAGTTAAGTAGGTTAATATACAGACCATGTATTGCCAGGTGGAAACACTGGAGTGGTCCTTAGCTCTCCCAATCAGCAGCCTACTGCTGGATTTCAAATCCCTAACAGGATTTCCAAAATTCACTTACTATTTAGAAATAAGTCAATGTCCTTTCTGCTGACTGTTGATGAGAATTACCTCTCAGATAAGCAGAATGCTCTTATCTAATGAAAACATTTTAGGTGCTACAAGTAACACAAATTATACCTGATAACCTAACAGAGACATATCATTCTTTACCTTAAGTTTACTTCCATCCAACTGCAGGAGTTGCTCTCCAGTGATGTTTTGGGCACTGAATTCAGATACATACTGCTCCAGATTTAGGCTCATTAACCAGTGAGAAACCTGCTGCACACTCCATTCATGAACGGCCCGATTCTGACACTGACTGTGTTTGGGAGACTGTCCATCATCAAGGATCTGAGATAGGAATGTCATGCAGTGTTGTTAAAGGACCACAATGCCATGGCTCAGTATGGCACATTATGCTGCAAAAAGGAGTTTCTTGCCTACTAGAGCCACATTTATTTTTAAATCATAACATGATAAGCTAATGGTTCTAGTTGCATATATATATATATATAAAATTAAAGCGAAACATACTTATTACCTACATGTTTTCAGGTATTTTTAAATTTAAAAAATTCCCCCAAATAAAGCACTATTATTAATGTTGGAAGTTTAATAGTGAAGATATACTCGATGTTGCAAGCTTGTACGTTAAAATACTTCAGAAACATTATCAGATGTAGAAAGCAAATATTTCATCAATAGTCTCTATACACAATGCAACACTCTGTATTTGTCCTCTGATAAGACACTAGAGATATTTACAAATACATTTTTAAAATACAGCAGTGTCTTCCACTTGGAAGAGGACAGCATTAAGCCCTCAAGCATTCTTGGGAAAATGTGACATCCATTATTCCATTTAAGCAGCAAAGCAAACCTGTAAGTAAGGTAGAGCAGGTCATATTCATAATTACTTCTAATAGATGAGGAAACTGAGGCTCAGAAAGTCTACATGATCTGTCCAAGTGGTAGAGCTCAACAGTGTGCTTGTATTCCCAATCCCAGGCTTTGTCCAGAGCAGAATATTGTTTTAATAGTGAAAAGGGGCAGGATGTTCCTAGAGAACCACTAAGCTGAGAGGAGATGAAGGTGATGATAGGTCTTGGGGGAAGACAGGTGTCACCTTGGTGACCCTGTAGGGAACACAGAAGAGGGGATGGGTTAAGCTGGGATGAAGGCAAAGAAATGAAACAGAATGGACCATATCAAGGCAGTGGTGATGGGAGACAAATAGAGGAACTCTGGAGGTGGAATTGGAGATCCTCTTAACTCAGGAAAGCTTTTAAAACTAAGATATAGACAAGGACAGAGAGTGAAGCTTTTTAACACAAGGAACTCTTCCACTCTAGAGGAACGTTTTCTTGTATTGTTTGATTTTTATATTATAGGCAAAGAGAGAAAACAAGGTTCAAACCACATCACACGAGCCACCACACACAGCCCCTGATAGCTCACCTCGTCATCTATCATGTCCAGACTCTGAGTGAGGGAGCAACAAAAGAATCAAAAAGAAAAGCATTATAGAAACACAAGACACACGGATACTGTGCAAATTCCTATAAAAATTAACATCTCACCAAGCCTGAAGAATATGGGCAGAAAGGTTTAAGAGAAAAAATAAAAGTTTTACAAAACAAAAATCATGTGAGAAATGAAAAAATAAGAACAAATATTTAGAGCAAAAAAATCTTTGTTTACAGTGCCCCCACTCCTCCCCAAATACTGATATTTCTTTTTTCTACTTATCTTTTGGAGGACTAAGTCAATCACAAGTGTAAGTTTTTGCCTCTCTTGTACACGACAGAGGGAAATAAAAAAGAAATAATCAAGAGTTCATATTAAATATAAAACCATAGCCCTGATGATTTATATGTAAAATCTATCCTAAAAAACATTTTCCCAGAGATAGTTCATGAATAAACTGTATGATTTCAGAAAGCAGTTCTGTCACAAATGCCATGCAAGTACCTCATCTGATGATAGTGCTAAGGACTGAGAGGGCCCTGGTGCTTTAGGTTCTGCTCCTAAGCCACTCAGGTCTGCTGAACTGGTACTGCTGGGACTGAAGTCATCATTGAAGGTAAAATTCTGAAAAAAATAAATAAAGCCAGTGTTAAGTGAACACAGTGAGTGAATCCGAGGTAGGTGTGTTTCCAAGTTCTAAAAAGGTTCTTTGTAAACAATCTTATAAGAAATTCATGTTCAGTTTGGTGGTGACCTTCAACCAGGCTGTGGTTAAGAATACTACCTGCTTTATGGCTGACTGGGAATTCTAGATGCTCTCTCCATCTGATAAAAGGATAGGTGTTTTACAGAAATGATTCTTCAGTCTCTCTTCAAGGGTACAGAATACATTGTCCTCTACAACTTCTCAGAGGAATAATATTAATAAGCCTATCTTCTTTGGCCCTAATTGTGATGAGTAACAGTGTAAGTAAAAATACATGATGGTGTGGAGAGGCTGAGTTATTAGAACAGATGGCAATCCATATTAGAAAGGTAGCTATAGCACCTCCTGGGAAGGGTTGCTTGTTCTTGGGCATGATAAATATTGCGAGAAATGGCAGATCCTCTCCTAGATGTACCCTTCAAGATGATGAGTTCTCGGGGAGGTCAGAATCTGACAATACACCAGGAGGTACATGCTAAAATACAACTCTCACACAGCTCCAGCCGATTATCAAAGAGGTTGCAGCACAGAGCAGATACACGTTCCCAAACAAATACCTGGGGTGGGGGCAGGGAGGGGGGGCTTGAAATAAAACTTACCCAGAACTTCATTAAAAATGTTCAGTGAGCATTAAAACCAAATAAATTAACAATGGCTATGTAGCTGCATTTGGGAAACCATTTTAAACAAATCTGGAGACTCTCCAGTGTAAGATAATGGTAGAGTTATTCAAACATTTAGATGTCTCAGACATGATGCGGAAAATGTTTCAAAGCCAAGTGGCCGACTGATGTTAAAACTTTTGCTAATAATTGTAGATGGCTGGCTCCCCAGAACTCTATGCACTTGACCCACACCATCTTGTTTCATATTCCATTTCCTTAGGAATTAGACCGTTACTTTTCAATTAGGTTCCATTTCATTGGGTTAAGTTGGTTGTCAATAATAAATACCATGCCAGAGGCTAGAGAATTCAGTATCAAATAAATTTCATGGTTTTCTAAAACTTCAGAAAGGGAGTCTAAATCAGAGCACATGGAGCTAGGCTAGTAAAACATTTAAGCAGGAGGGCATTTAACATAGAACATTACCATTTGACATCATCTATGGAGACACCACCCCAAACCTAGACCCAAACCCTCTGAGCTGTTGACTTCAAGAAAAGAATTAAATGCAAGTAACATTAATCATGTTTCTGTTTGAGAAAGAAAAGTGAACATAGATAAAAAGAGACCAAACAACACGTGAAAGTTAGCCATCATATGTGCTTCAATAAAATGTTAGATTAAGGTTTGCAGCGTCATGCTGGAAATAACCACCATGCATTTAAAAACAAGTTAACACCCATGCATATAATTCCTAATTCTGCTAAAGTTAAAGGACTTTGGTGGTAGAATTATAACATTTGTTCAACATGGCAGTTTGATATTAAAAGAAGAAATAAGTAAGGGTGCTATGTCAGCTTTGGTTTGTTTTAAAGAGTTTCATTTAGATGTATTGAACACATATTCAGTCCTAAAATTTATCTGTTTTCCAGTAAATCTTGAAGAGCACGGCAAAATAGCTTTGTAATGTAATTTAAAGTGGAATACTTGGTAAACAAATGTATCATACTGTTCAATGATTAAAATGCATCTTTCCCAGCATGGCTTAACTGTCAAACTGAGATTAAATAGCAATATATGAAAAGACAGGCAAATCAAAGAGTAATGTACAATCTAGAATGGAACAGTATTATAGAGGTGATGGTTAAATAAGGCTTTCTCTTTTCCCACACAACAAATACCATGCATTGTTTATTGCAGTGTTATCACATTGGTTTCTCGGATCCAGAGTATACACACAAGTTGAGAGTGCCTTCCAAAGACTGAGGAGGAGGAGGGGTTTGGGTTTCTCTTGTTTGCTTTTTTAATCCATGTGTTTTCTACCTTTGACCCCTTTTTGTCTGAAATTACAATCTCAGGAGAAGGCTGAAGGGGGCTTGTAGGTGAAGGCAGGTTCCTGAAGGAATAAGATCCTTTTCTGCTTTCATGAAACCATGAGAAAGGCATGCAAGGAGAGCGAACAGAAGCCTGAGCTGTGAAGGGCGGCTTGGGTTTCCAGTTTTCCAGTCTGCCTCTGAAGACCCTGTTTTATAAAAAGAATGAATGTGTTACACAATGAAGGGGCAGATGTTTAAGACTTACTGAATTCTGAAGGAACCCTGAATATAGTCTGGAGTAATAGACGGAGAAACTGTTCTACACAACAGAGAATAAAAAAATTTGTGCTTTTGACTAGAACGTTAATCTTAATAGTTATTTTTTGCATCTCAGTGGGTTCTATAACAATGATCAACATTCTTGCATTGCTACTGCCATGCTGAATTTTTACTAAATGTGTCTATTAAATGTATGTGGATAAATTAAAATCACGGAGGGGCACAGTCTCTTAGGAATTTGCTATTAGTTTGGTCATCCAGGGATTCCCTTTATCTGGGTGACATCTCAGTTATCTCACTGCTAGTGACATTAGCTCAAGACCAGCATTCTTTCCTGTCTTCCAGTGGACTCATGTTCTTGGTTTGAGACTTTAGAAAATTATATATTTAAATGACTCAGAAATTTCAGGGCTCATAACAGTTTAAGCAGAACCTACATACCATTGGTTTTTCATCACAATCTTAGTACCTAACACGGTAGTTGGAGGTCCAGGGTATACCACCTCCTGAGTACACAGCCTTGGCCTTCTCTTAACCTCTGTTTCCTCATTTGTAAAATCTGGATAACTTATGAATCTCATATGTTGTTGTGAAGAGTTAATGAGATAATGCCTTATTTGAAAAAGACTTTTAGTACCCCCAAATCCTAGACAGGCAGCACTTGAAACAAAATCTAAACATCACATTTAATTAAAACTTTCATAACATTCTCACTGACAAGTGTTCTAGACTAGTAATTCCACATGGACTTGTATATCCAGCACCAAGGACAGGGCCAGAGGCCTGTGTGAATGTGGTGAATGAGATCAAGGAAGTTCAGCCTCTGGTGATAATCAGGGGCTTTCTTTCTCCAGCTTTACACATCAAGGCGATGGGTAGAATGGTGGCACAGTGGAGTAGAACGCAAGGAAACCCCACTTCTAAGGAGACAATCACTATCTGCACAGTGGCACACCACCAGATCCTGAGGTATGCTCTGAAGAGCATTTTCCAGTTCTGCATAAGGCCTGACTGGGCCCCTGCTGAGGCTGTATCCTTATTTCTCTGTGTATCCTGACTCCAAAAACTCCACAAACTGATGTAATCTCTGTGTGTTTTCTAGTATCCTTAAAGGGATGAACAGTAGCATGCATGCATCTACAGTAGGCTATAGAATATACTTTTTTAAAAAAGGAAACTTTCTATTACTTTAAAATTTAAAAGTGGTGGTTAAGACCTAGACTGCTAACCAAAAGGTCAGCAGTTCGAATCCACCAGCCATCAAAAATTTTTTCTAAAATATGTGCCAATTTACTTCCGGATAAATCAAACTCTTGGGCCTACAAAAGGAAGAAAGAGGATTTGGGAACAGTATTCTATTACTGACCACTAATAGTCCGTTTCACTTTGTGGAAAAATCTGTTAGGAATAACATGAAATTCTCTTTTAATTACTCCCTTAATTAATTCCTTCCTTCCTTCCCCCCTCCATCTCTTCTTCTTTTCCTACTAACTTTTTTGATTCTGAGGGCAGTTTATGGGCTAAGCTGCATAAACTCAATATAGATCTTTAATGATACCCCTGAAAATGGAGGTTGGTAGAAATGAACTCTTGACGGATCTGAAAATAATTTCCAGAGGATCAAAACAAGTATGTATTCGACACTTCTTTTTTACCTTCATTTTTAGATTGTACTAATGATGGTTCATTATCATTTTGGGGAAAAAAAATTGAATTACAAGTCACTGTCATACCCTTGATAGCTTTATTACTGGGGACTAGGAGAAATAATTGGTTCAAATTAGGTCTTTATAATCCAGAGTTGTCACTTTTTGGGAGTAGCTATCCCTGGCATTTAAGGTTTTTACATCCACTCTTCACTTATTGACATGGCTAGGTTCCAAAGACCAGGTCATTATGTGAAAATTGACATTGTGCAAAAATGGAGGATGACCACATCAGATCACAAAATTGAGGATGACTACATCATTATGCAACTGCCAAATTATATCATTACATAACTGCCAAATTATACCATTACATAACTGCCAAATTAGATAATTATATAACTGCCAAACTGCTGAGAATCAGGACCCAACCAAGTTGACACATAACCTTAACCATTACAGCTAGTGTTACTCTCACCCTGGCATTTGTTACTGCCAGACGTACATTGCTAATGCACAAAATAGTTGGATAGTAGATTTTTTACTATTGCAAATGTGAAATGTCTGATAATAAGACAGTTGATAAGTGAGGAGTGGGGGTAGTCAATAACTCTATATAACAATTAACACATTTACATACATCTTGAAACCAGTTTATCTCGGGGTATGAGCATCTAAAAATTAAATTGCTCAGTTAAACATCCATGGTGGTATTTTTTTCCTTTGTTTTAACTTTGAGTACAAGATGTGCAAAGTATTCAGAATCTAAACTTTTGGAAGAAAAAAATGTATGGAAATAATATACAATCCAAGAAGGCAGTCCAAACCAAAAACCAAACCCACTGCCATCGAGTCAATTCTGACTTACAGCGACCCTACAGGACAGAGCAGAACTGCCCCACAAGGTTTCCAAGGCTGTAATCTTTACAAAAGCTGACTCCCATATCTTTCTCCTGTGGAGCAGCTGGTGTGTTCAAACCACTGACCTTTCAGTCAGCAGGCCAGTGCTTAACCACTGTACCAACAGGGCTCCTTAAGATGGTAGTAAAGGAGGTTAATTGAAGAAAGTTAGCTGCAACCAGAGAAAGGGTTGTGGACTTCAATTTACTGAAATCAGTAATTCTGTAAGGTTCTAACATCCACTAAAGAGATGGGTTGGAAAGCCAGCCCCATCTAGGGGGAATTGGAGACCACTGTATAACAGCTATGGAAAACCTATGACCATCTGCTCAGAGTCAACCATCCTGGACATATTCTGCTCCCAGATCCCAAGTTCTGATTAAACCTCTGATCAATAATCACTTGGGCCCATGTAAGATGGCCAATGTAGTGTTCAGCCTAAACTTGCTTAAGATGGTAAAACTGTTCCCCTAATGGGTCTTCCCAACACTGAGAGGGTTGAAAATGAAACAGCAAGTTGATCACGTAAATCAAATCCATACTAATAAAACACAAATGTTAAGTTTATGAATAATAAATATATTGTTTAAGGATTTAAGAAAATCTGCACTATTAGAAACCTGAGAAAGAAATCTGAGAAATTTGTCTACTGATTCTACCTTAAAACTTTAACTGATTTTACACTTGTATTTTTAAGGTGTGAAATAATTTAACCACATTGTTAACAGTAGTGGGATGTTTACAGTCACTATATTTATAGTTTTAATTTATTAGATTTATGAGAGGTTTTTAAGTACAGAAAACTGTTTTGCTTGTTAGGAATGTAAGCTTGTCAGGTTTCAGCTATTTGAAGTGCTTAAAAAGGACAGTGAATACATTAAATTTATAAATGCAGCTAAAAATGAGACAGCCAGTTAAGGGAGATAGAGTCTACCCTATTAAGACTAACATTAAACAAAGGTCTCCATGAAAGTGATGGCTTTTATTTTACATAAAATTTCATAGGATGTATAAACAAAATAACAAGATTTGTAAGTTGAATTAAAATTCCTAAAAAATGCTGGATTTTAAAATTTGAAATATTAATAAATAACTCTTCATTTAAAACCCAAGTAATCCTTTCTTTGAGCATCTCTACCCTGTTGCTGAGTAATTTCAAACTCACTGTAGTGCCATGATTTGTCTGGTTTCTTCGAGAGAAATAACATCCATGAAGAATTGCCTAGAGTTTAATCCATATACTCCATTCATTCTTCAACATATTATAAAAGTCATCCTTGGATGAGTAAGACTGCCAGCAGAAAACATATGGAGAATACTTTGGTTTATATCCCTTCCACTAGAATTGCTTCAAATGTTAATAATAATAATGATAGTAGTTTATATTTATTAAGGACTTAAAATGTGGTTAAATGTGACTTAATCCTCCCAAAGCCTGATGAGGTTTGTATATGTCTCCATTTATATATGAGGAAACTGAGGCACAGAGAGGTTAAGTAATTTGCCTAAGATGACAAGTGGCAGAACTGCGATTTGAACCCAGGCAGTCTCACTCTACAGCCTGCCTCTTAACTACTTTAACATTATGCTCTTGGCTTTCACTGAAGGCCATTATTACATTTGCTGTGAAGATATTGTTGAAGATGCATATTAAGTATCAACCATAATTACTTTTTGCTTTATCTTACTTCTCTCTATCCAATTAACTTTTTAAAGAAAACATATTGTGGTATCATATATACTTTCGAATATAAACAAATTATTTTTGGAACAAAAAGGGGTAGACAAAAATAAATCTAAAAAAAAACAAAAAATACATGTGGATTTATAGACTAAGTGAATAATGAGTTAGAAATCAAAAAAGAATTTGTTTTTCATAGACTCATACAGGATCAACACTGCCCAATAGAAACTATATAAGCAACATACGTAAATTTAAATTTTTTAGCAGTCACGTTAAAAAAGAACTAAAAACTAAAGAGTTGTGAAATTAATATTTTATTTAACTTCAAATACCTGAATTATTGTTTCTGCATGTAATCAATACTAGAAAATTATCAATGTGATATTTTACATTATTTTTTTCATACTAAGACTTTGAAAACAAGCATGTATTGTCTCCTATGGCACATCTCAATATGGACTAGCCACATTTCAAGTGCTCAATAGCCACATCTGAGTAGAGGCTACCATACTGAACAGTGTGGATATGGATGGGTAGGAAGTTAGAGACAATGTAGTTTTAGTCCAACTCCCTTTTTTCTCCTAAGAAACCAAGGTCTAAGGAATTCGGACTTACCTACAACAAAGTCAGGATTTCCTTGGGGTATGCTGGATTCCAACTCAGTGTTCTTTCCACCACTCACACTTCTAAGGTGAGTATAAATTCCTTTCCCCAGACCTCCCTACCATCTCCCTTCCCCATCATTTCCCCACACACCATCATTCAGCCAGGAGCTTCTCCCACAGAGCTCCAAAGTGCATGTGCCACTGACTTCAGTGGCTATTTACTCTAGGGTTTAGGATGACATTTTATTTTACTCTTCAGTGTGCACCTTAAGGAATAAACAAGCACTGACAACTAAATGTTGCCTACTTCTATCATCTGCTATCCTGCCTGCTTAAATCAGACATTAACTGAGCACATATTTGAAGAAGATAGAACCAAATCACATTTCTTTGCAGGGTTTATGTATCACTATTATTTTTAGTTCATCTAGTTTCTCTATTTGTCTCATGCTGGTCATGTATCTGAGTCATTATGTCATCGTATGAGACACAACACAATAAACTCTTTAAACTCTAGGGAGGCAAAAACTAAAACCAAGGTAAAACTTAGCAAATGTCTTGCCTCTTTAAAGTCTGGTAGCCACAGGTCATAGCTGACTGAATGACCTAATCAGATTTTAACAATCTAATAAGAATTGGATGAAAAGCCTAAGAGATATGATTAGTAAGTCAATTGGTGAATGGTTCTCCTCCTGTTTCCAAGAAAGCCTCACAGGGTGATGAGTTTATTGCCAGCTCTTCTCCACAACTGCAGTGTGACCCTGGAGCCCATGGCACTTATCACCCGCCTACATTCAGGGGCCCTGTGAAACCAGCTCAATTGCATTAAGCTCCTACTGGGCAGTAATTCTGCTCTTCCTGGAATATGTTTTATAATGTGCTGGGCCCATTACCAATCTTCATAGGAGAACAGAGGCTGTCATTAGATTTGATTAGTGCTAACCAATTACTCTGATAGCCCAAAAATATAATTTTTTTGAACACAGAAAAATGTTCCTCTTCTCTCCTTGTTCTTCTATTTTAATTTCATGAATTCCTTTCAGTTCTGCCAAAATCCTACTATAATTACAAATAATTATAAAATTATGTTTCCAGCTGAAAACTATTCTGTAGTGTTGGCACATGCGAAACACTTCACTTCGTGACTATTGAAACAGAGGGACTCCAGAGTTAATGTTTTAAAAATATAGAGCTAGCCAGGAAGCTGGCTGGAAACCTGCCTGCTTATTCAAAAGCTGACAGCAGCTGTGGTAAAAGCAGTGTGCTGAGGACAGCCACCACCCTCTAGCCCCCAGGTTTATCCCTGGTTTTGCTAAGTGAGAACTCATCAACAGAATCAAGATTTACTTGATTTTCAACTGGGAATTATAAAATGAGAGGGTAACCTCTGGCTACTACGACTGGAATTCCGACAGACATTCTCCCTGCTGCTGGATGCCTGTGGTTACATCTCTTTTAGAGAAGAGCCTCCAAGGTCAGAGGTGGTGACTTCCTCTGACGCCTGAGACCAAAGGAAGGGGACTGTCACTTCAGAAGTGTCCAAGTTTCTCTCCCATTGAGTATTTGTGCATCTCTCTCTCCCATGAATGGAAGAATTGCGTGTTTTTATTTCTGAATATACTTGATAGTTTTCTACTCTTAATCTTTAGACACAACATAGATCATTTTATATTTCTCACTCCAAAACCACACAAAGTTAAATTGCTTTTGACCTGCATATGGTCTCTGATTTACCTTTTGTTTTTCCTGAGGTTGTTGTTTTCAATAGAAAAAGATTCCTACCCTTCCTCCATTGTACAGCATAAAGAAAACCCAGACTAACAAAAATGATTAATTTGGGATTTTTTGCTCCTCATCTCCTACCTTTCTCTTGTAATCCCAGGAAGAAGGTACAATTTCCTCATCAAGGACAAATGCGCAAAAAGAGAAAAAGAAGAAAAGGAAACATATAGGGGACAACCTATAAAATAAATCAGTGGTCCTCAAATAATTTCACTGCTTTTTTTTCCTTAACATTTTGTCCATTTCTTCCTTAATCTATCATAGAGCTGATTCTGAAATTTCACAAAGAAATTTAAAGGTCATGAGATGCATAACTAACTGGAGATAACATGGTGTGTTGGAAAGAGATTCAGACAGGAGGCAGAAGCCCCAGCTTGACATTAATTGCCTGCTGCATAACCCTGAGCACATCAATTAAATTCTATGAAGGTGAAGTTCTTCATCAATAAAGCAAGGTATTGTTATCAGCCCTCCTAATTTTATCGTAAGGATCAAATGAAGAAATAAATTTAAAAGTGTTTTGTAACTTGCAAATAATAATAACAAAAACCAGTAACAGCAAATTGCTATCTTAATTATTACTTTTGAATATTTTCTACGTGCCGGGTACCGTGTTAAGTACTTTACATAAAAACTCATTTAATCCTCACAATTACCTTATCAGGTAGGTACGATTATTACCCCCATTTTATATAGAAGAAAATGGAGGCATTGAGGGTTAAACAACTTGTCCAACATTAAACAGATGGCAAGAGGAAGAGCTATGATTCAAACCTAACAGTCTGACTCCAGAGCCTTATCCTTTGTCTCCCTATAAAAACCTAAGTTTAAAAATTACATAATCTCAGAATAAAACTGGGAAAACTTTACAACGTGCTACAGAAAGCTCACTTCTAGTAAAGTTTTTATTGAAAAGTAACCATAGTTATAAACCAAAAACCAAATTTGTTGCCGTCAAGTCTATTCTGACTCATCCAAAAAAGACAAACTCATTGCCGTTGACTCATAGCGACCCTGTAAGGACAGAGTAGGAACTGCCCCATAGGGTTTCCAAGGAGTGGCTAGTGGATTCCAACTGCTGACCTTTTGGTTAGTCGCCAAGCTCTTAACCACTACCCAACCAGGGCTCTTTCTGACTCACAGCAACGCTAAAATCAATTAAATAGGCAAAAGCAGCCAGGACAGTGGTCATTCTTATACTTATATGGAAAGGACAATCTTAAAAGACAACAAAGCAACTTAAACCACTAGGCCACCAGGGCTTCAAAAAGGGCATCTGCCTCCCCATCGGATGAAACCTGATACATGTCTAAAGTTTCACACAGAATATTTATGCTGTTCTTAGATAAAGATTTATAGAAACTGTTAATGTGATCATAATTCTGCAATCAAGGACCAACTGGTATGTTCAAGGCCAGATGTGTGCTATAATTGGAGAAGGAAAAATATAGCCTGATTGTGCAGTTTTTCTTTTATCTCAACTCTAGGTGTTTCACTTCAGCTCAAAAAAACTGACCATTGATTTTGGTTAACAGTAGAAGGGGATCAGAAAGTTTACGTGTAGAGATAAATCTATGTTCTTAATCACCCTCCCATACCTGCTACCTGGAGAAAACCTCCTGGCTTCTTTTTCCTTTTCTTTCCATTTCTTCCCCTTGTTGGAATTCCTTCGCAAAGGTGCCCTATAATGACAGCACACAGGAAGGGGAATTGAGAGTTTCTCCTTTAATTCCCCTTTAACAGAGGGCTTGTTTTTAATATCATGACATACTTACCCCAGATCCACAAACTTCTGCTTAATTTTTCCTCCTTGCATCACCAACGAACTGGATGCCTTTAGCGATCTGGGGCCTTTGGTATCATCTAGGATATACACATATATGGAAAAGATCAGTTATTATTGTTATTTCTTTCAAGACCCAATTATTTTCTGCTTTAAATTTTTTGTTGATACCATGTGTTTTCAGTAATGGAGGGCATGCTGAATCATTAAGTGTGTTTGAATTTTTGGTAGGTAATATGGTTTTTGTTTTATGTCTTATCCCACAAATCTAACCTCTGGAATCCAAAGATACATATGTGTACCCTTTGACACCCCAAATTCTACCCTCAGAGTCCAGAGGTACATATGTATACCAAATAAAATTTTTCAAAATTTGTGTTTTTCCTACTAAGAATTTAATGATTCAGCACTACCTCATACAACACCTTGTAAAAACAGCACATGCCCATTTTTTTCCATTTCAAACTGTTATATAGGGCCCTGCCTGCTGGAAGCACATACTGTCAGTGGTACAATAGCTCCCCAGTGAACCTCAGAGACTGGAAAAGTAGGTGGTAGCTATATATACTATGGGTCACAAAAGGGTTAAAGCTATGAATCAAAAGTCAGTGCATATCTGAATCTAAGGAGTTTGCCTAAATTTCTAACTATAAAAGGAAAACTAAAAAGGGCGTCTTTTTATAAGATGCAGGAAACAGCTATGTTGGGGAGTATTCAGTTAAGCCAGCAGAGGTCTTGTTGGGCCTAATGCTCCTCACAAAGAATTTTCACTTCAAACATACTGGAATGAGCAAGATAAGCAAGAATAAACACTATCAAATCATCCTTTGCATTCAAAGCAGGGATCAAAGTGACTTTTCGTCTATTCCTTCTTTGGCTACAGCTCTTTGCTTCAAATGCTCGGACTTGTCCTCCATGCCTTTGGTTGGTGCCTTCTAAAGCTTGCCTTTGGTTAATGCCTTCCGACGTTTCCCTCATAACTTCAAAGCCCAGTACTGAACGTCACCACTGAGAGTCTGGGACATTCTGAGAGAAAGTGAGAATAGAAGCGTTCCCTTTTGGTCTCCTTCTTTAACGGATTGTGGCCAGTCCTGGGACAGAGAAAGGCAGAATGTTGGGGAGACTCTTAAGCAGGAGATGAGTCATAAAACATTTGTATCTTGTGAAAGGTCCCTCTCAGAAGTCGGGTTGGAGCACAACTTGGCAGCCTCCCATGATGCAGAAGACGCCAAAATCTCTTCATTGTGTGGAGCTGACTGATCTCAGCCTCTTTGAGTTACCCTGGCACTCTAAAGGGTAGCAGCTGCTGGGGGATGGGGACACACGAAAGGATGCTAGAAAAACAATCAGAGCACAGGCTTTGGGAACAGAGTTCAACGTCAAATGTAGGAAGTAGATTCCAGCAGTGGCACTTACTCTACCTCAGCCATGGTAGGTAACTCCTAAGGCTATTCTTGGACTATTCAGACACTGTTTAGTTTTTTATTTCAGCATATCCAATTTCCTGAGATGATTAACTTGGTGTTTTAAATTTAATGTATATTTGCATATGAAACTACCCTTCCCTAATTGTCGGTGTCTGTCTGCCTTGTCTTTTTAAAACTGTTAAAAATTCCAGGAACTTTCTGGCATGGAGTGCAGAGAGAATAACAGTCCTGCTAAAAAAGTATTCAATTAACCTTGCAGGTCACTTTTGCTTATGATTTGTGTTATCTTCAGGAGAAGTTTCCAAACACACTTACATCCTTAAAAAACATGAAGTGTTCACACAATTGAACCACAGTTAAAGAGTCTAGGTTCATACCTCTAAAGCAACACAGGACACTGACAAATACTTCAAGCATCTTTAGCAATGAGCTTTTTATATTTTCAGTTATGGTAATGATACTCAGATTACAATAATCAATTCTTTGAAATGTACATAATGAAATGCAAGAGTCAGAAATATATCCATGTCAAAATTCACTTTTAGCTTCAAATATTTGTTATGTGTATTTGCATCATTACTCTGTAAGTAACTGAATTAAATAGCCTTAGATGTGGTACATAAACACACACACACACAAATCACAGACATGGCACAAATGCCTTCTAAGGTGATTCTGCCAATGGACATTTAAAAAAAAAAAAGCAAGACTTCAATTTTCTTAATAGGGACTGGAGAAAAAATAAAAAGTGCTGAATTCTTCCAGGTCAATTCTAAAGCAACTCTTAATGGCTAGGACTGCACACAGTTAAAAGGGAGATTGTCTAATTATTTTCTGAGTTAGAGATAGCGGGGATTTTTTTTTTTTAAACAAGTGGTAGGAAGACCAGATGAGACAATGTACATGGAAGCATTCTGTAACCTATTAGTATTACACTTATTTGGACATCTCAGGACAAAAACCTGACTTTGTCAATAATAGAGCCTGCTGCTAGGCAACCTCCCATCATTTTCTCACACATTTACCAATTGTTTCCAAGGAACACTTGAATGAATGCTACCAAAAGGCTGAAGAGGCAAGATTAAGTAATAATTCACTTCCCCATTTTAAACCAATCAAATACATCATTAATGTATATCAGAACTTCTATTCTGCATTAAAACCAACATTGGCTTGGTATGCTTTCAACAAGAGAGAAAGAAATGTGACATGCTTTTATTGTTTGCTTGTTTTGTTAGCTTTATGTAAGATTTCCATTAGGCTTTTCGGAATCTCTCCAATACCACGTTCACGAGCAATTACAAGCCTGGGCCCCCAGGTTGGGTGGCTCAGTTTTAAGCCTTGGCAACCTGGTTTTTATTTTCAATGGTTATAAATGATCTTCTGACAGCTAAATCTTTCTTTTCATGGTCTTCTTAAACTCTCTGCAGTAAGACTCTTTACTACCTCCTCTTCCTGGAATTGGAAAAAAAAAAAAAAAAAAAAAAACATTGCCATTGAGTCAATTCCAACTCAATTCCAAGCCCTTAACCACTGCACCACCAGGGCTCCCTTCCTTTAATTAGGGACTCCTAAATCTGTTTCCCAGCCCTGGTGTTTCTCTTGAGCCCACCACCCTCCCCCCCGCTTTTTTAAATGAGTTAATCATCTTTCCTCATAATGTTTCTGATGTCCTATTTCAGATAATGCTAAGACATTCTCGCTGAAGCCAGAAATCCTTTCATTAGTTTTGACTCTCGTTTTCTTCCACCTACATCTAGTCAACTTACTTTCCAAGGGCTCTTGTATCATTCTTTCCTGTCATTGTCTATTGCCGCTCCTTAGAGGTTGTCATCTCACAATGAGACCACTGTCACTGTTTCCTAACTCATCTTTGTCATAGCTAGTGCCTTTTCCTTTTCATTCCTCTGTGCAAACATTTTGTGGTTTCCTAGTATTATAAGAAGGTATCTAAGACATTTAAATTCTAGAGCTATAGACTTAACCTACCGGTTCCATTCTACATATAATCACTCTACTCTACATAAACAAACTGCTTCAGCCAGGCTAGGACAGCCCTGATCCTTTAAATTCATCTTATGTATGCCTGTCTTGGTTAATGCCATCGCCCTGCCAGATATGCCCTTCTTAACCATCCTTTTTTGTCTGTCTGTTTCCTAGTCCTTCATTGGTTACTCTAATTCTCCTTCTTTGTCAAGTTTCATTTATCAACCTCAGCTGGATGTAATCTCTTCCTCATTTGAGCAGTGGTATAATTTACTATGTATTGATAGTATATAGTAACATGTTAATAATGAATATAACATATTAAGAAGAAATGCATCCTGTAAAGTTTTCAAAATGCCAGGTTCTACTTATCAGGATACTAATTCAACAAATATTTTTGAAGGCATGCTCTGCGTCAGACAATGTGCTAATCACACATAAAGTCAGAGTAATAATCCGTGGTAATCTTGAGTAGAAAACTGAGTGATTAATTTACTCTACTTAAACATGTCTGAACAGGGCCCCACTGCTATGTGAGTCTAGAGACCAAAACTTTAGTATTAGGCTTCTCAAAGAATAGGCATCCGGAAAATATTTTCATGCCCTCTACAGCTATCAACCTTTTTTTTACAAATGTCTGGAAATTATCATCTTTTTACTTCCTCTAATTTTAATGGAAATGCAGTTACATGTTTATCTTTCACCCCAAAATAATGGACTCTATCTCAGTTTCCTCTGAGGCCCCTCAAGTATGAGAACAAAGTGATGGTTTGTGAATATGGCATTGAAGCACCATAGAAAGCACCCAACTCCAATTAGAGTAACCAGAGTATAAGCCTCAGGACTGCAATCAAACACATCTATAATTTAATCACCTTTGTAGTAACTTGATAGACTAAAAGTAATGGCATATTATTAAAAAAAAATTCTAGATAAATGACAACTGATGACTAAGACATTCGCACAGTTTATCCAGCAATGACGAGTGGAAGGAAACACACTTCTAGACCAGGGGTTGACAAACTTTTTCTATAAAGGGCCAGACAGTAAATATTTTAGGCTTGTGGGCCATATGTTCACTGTCACAACTACTCAACTCGGCCATTGCAGCATGAAAGTAGACAATACGTAACTGAATGAACATGGCTATGTTCCAGTAAGACTCTATTTACAAGAACAGATAGAGGGCCAAATTTGGTTTGATGATTCCTGTTCTAGAAGACATGCATTGATTATTTTAAGAGACATACTTATTAATTTATCCAAGAAATTTATTGAACATCTATTATATACTCTTTATTGTTCTTCATTGGGGACCAGAATGTGAAAATGAATAACATGAATGAGAAAATCTTGGCTCCCACTTGACAATTAGCTCACTTACCATACACAACGTAATACAGGCAGAAGCAACAGGGTGAAAAGTTCTGTGGGATCACAGAAAAGAGAATAATTCACTCTGCCTGGGAATGGAGTGTGTATGGCCAAGGCTTCACTAAAAGGGGTGAGATTTAAGCTGGATTTGATGAAGGGTCAGGATCTTCCTAGAGTGGTGTGGTAAGCATGGACATGAGATCCTGTGAGTATCACTAAACCCCGAGCCATTTTCTTTACTCATGAGCCAATGAGTCAAAAGAACCCCACATATAAATACACAAACACAGAGG